GCTTTCAGTCAAGTCATAATGAGTTCAGTGATCTCCTTTGTTCAGAACTGGCTGAGGCAGTCATTTTGTCATCTAGTCCTTCGTGTTGGTTTGGGAGGAATGTTCATACCATGCAAGGAGCCTAATAATTGGTGGGAGTTTCTGGAAGCCATCAATTTGATAATTTTGTGTTTGATTAACAGCCATTTAAATGAGCTCATTTTAAAATAAAAACAAGATAATATAATTCTTTAAAGTAAAAAATTAGATTGGTTGCTTCCTACCTTCTAGGAATAAAATAGTATTAGTTCAAGATTTGGCAAAAAGATTCATTCTTATGTGATAAAAGTTTTACAATATACTGCAATTTGTAATACTGCAAATCTGCAATTTTAAAATAGAAGCAGATATGTGATTTCAGTTAATGTAGGTAAATGTTTTGAGGCCAGAAAACTGATTGGAACAGAGAATTAAATACATACTTTTCAAGAAGGCAGAGAATTCAATCAAGTGCCTAGCCGGACACCTGTGGTATGAATGGATGAAATATTGTTACAGCTGAATTTAAGGGACCATGAGTTTTGCTTTTGATTTAGGTTCAGGTTCCAAAGCAAGAACAATGTACTTCTGGCAGGAGGATCTAACCTTTAGTCAAGAGGAGTAGCAGGATTCGAAACGGTTTTAGTTAGCAAAATCTCCAAACTATTAGAGTTTATTAGAAATTTTCACGTTGTCAGACTGAACAGATTTAGACTAGCAGTTCCCGAAGGAAAACTGGACAAAGTTAGTTAAGAAAGACACTGAAGAGTTGAGATTGGAGTGATATTTCCCTAGGATTTGAACATCGGTAACAGGTATTATTGGAAAATGGGCTGAAATTTAATTTTGCTATTTTATGTGAAGACCTTTCTAAGTTGTCATTATATAGGTATGTTTCTTTTGTGAGATAAACTTACATTCTTTTCTGAAAAATCATTTGCAATCTCCTTAGTTTATTATCAAGTGATTAGCCACCAGGGTGACCAACTGCAATTTCCAGTTTTAATCTGGTATCTGATTTGTCCAGCATTAACAGCAGCTGGGACCATAACATTTAGTTTATCCTTTGGTTTCAGTTCCCTCTGTGGCCTTACCCTGGTCTAATCTGAAATTTCCTCCAATCTTGCAACCCTCCCAGAACTCTCTGCTAATCTATTTCTGGTCTGTTAAAGATTCCCCATTTTTATACACTTCATTGTTGGCATTCATGTCTCAAGCTGTGCCCTAAACTCTGACATTCCATTCGAAAACTTTCCATCCCTCTGACTCATGTTCCTCATTTGAGGCCATCCTTAAATCATATCTCTTTAACGAAGTCTTTGGTTATCCATCCTTGAATCTCCTTATGCTGCTTCACGTCAGATTTTGTTGTTTAGTGCTTCTGTGAAGCATCTCGGGATCTTTTTATTCCTTTAAAATGATCATAAATATAAGTTGTTGTAGATCTGAGACAAATGCATACTTAGAAGTCCGGACTCTGGTGTGTTTCGCAGTCATGCAAACTGTATATTGAAAGGGTGTTTACAGTGTATACGTCAGTGAGGGAATCATTAATGTGTTAACAAAACTGAGAATTGACTACATAGCTGGTAGCAGCCAATGGGGGAGATGTTTTTGATTTAGAATACTGCAGTTATTGAATTCCTTAATTGAGGTAAGATAAAGAACATAAGAGCAGAAGTAGTCTATTCAGCCCTTTGAGTTTGGACTGGCATTAGATGTAGAAAATAATGAGGGGCTTGAATAGAATGGACAGGGAAGACTTGCTGCCCCCAGCAGTGAGGTCAGTTACCAAAAAGAACAGACTTCAGGGAATTAGTTAAAAGACGAGGTAGTCAAGAAAGCGTACAGCCACTTGCCTTCATTGGTCAGGGTGTCGAATATAAAAGTTGGCAAGTTATTTTACAGCTCTACAAAACTTTAGTTAGGCCACATTTGGAATATTGCATGCAGTTTTAGTCACCACACTGTCAGAAGAACGTGGATACTTTGGAGAAGGTACAGAGAAGGTTTACTAGGATGTTGCCTGGTCTGGGGGATTTTAATTATGAGGATGTTGGATAAACTCAGCTTGTTTTCACTGTAAAGACAGAGGTTAAGGGGGCGACCTGATAGAGGTCTACAAAATTGAGAGGCATAGATAGGGTGGATAGACAAGCTTGTTCCCAGGGTGGAAGGATCAACTCGAGTTGGCACAGGGTCAAGTTGAAAGGGAGCAAGTTTAGGGGACAAGTGCAAGGAAATTATTTCACATAGAGGATGGGTGGTGCTTGGAACCACCGCCAGTGAAGGTGGTGGAAACAGGCACATTAATAATATTTAAGGCATATCTTGATAGACACATGAATGGGAGGCAAACAGAGGGATAGAAACTGCTCATGGGCAATAAGTAGCAGGTCTACGTAGGGATTAGGAATCAACCTGGCTTGGAGGGCCAAAGAGGGCAGAGGTTCTGAAGTGCTGTAACGTGCAAGTTTACAGACCAGATGTTGGTAAAATGAGGTTCGAATGAACATCTAGTTTATTCAACTGGAGCAAACACAGTGGGCTGAATGGCCTTTTTGTGCTGAATTAGTTGTATCACTCTGTGCTATGTAGCTCCATGATGTGCAAGTTAAGTCAGACGGATGATCATCAATCTGGGCAGTTATGAGGGGCCAAAAAATAATCCTTATTGGACCCAGCACGTGTGCAGCAAACTCCAGAGGTTCAGTGGCCACCCCCTATTCCTGTTTCTTTCTACATGATGAGCTGCTGGGATAGAAACAGGTATCTTTTCTAGGGGCGCTGAACCCAATTATAACACGAGAATAAAAATTAAATACTGCTGATGTTGGAATCTGAAACAGAGAATGCTAGAGAAACTCAACAGGTTTGGCAGTATCTGTGGAGAAAGAAACAGTTTACGTTTCAAAGTCTGGTATGACTTCTTCAGAACACTGTTGAACTCTACTAAAGTAGATCATAATGGATTCGAAACATTAACCCAAGTTGTAGCACTTTGTTTTCCAACTTTGGCTTAGATCAGCTAACTCAATACAGGCTGAGAATTGAAATTCTACAATCTGTATAATTTTGTACCCATTGCAGAAACCTTCTGGTTGAACATATAATATTTTGCTGCTTTTCTAGGCCTTGCATCCAGTATGAGAATTACTTTATGCCGCTCGGTAGAATTGAGAGATTCATTTGCTTGGTCTTTTCATTCTGTTTTGATTTTGTAAAGAAACCATTGATACTTTAAATCCAGATTCATTATATTTCAATAATTCAACCAAAGATGTCAGAATATTTCTGGAGGCAGCCTTCCAGTCTGACCCATAACGCAAATGTGGGTTAATGAATGCCCTATCGGGTTACAGACGGTCAACAAAGTAAACGCAAGTAGCAGGTAGTCCCTGGGTCTCCTTTTAAGAAGAGCTCAGAGTAACTACAAGTACTGGAAAAAATTGGAGAGCACTTCTATCCCAGATCAAAACTGAATCTAATGAAACAACGTAAATTCTTCAGCCATTTGGCCTCATATTTCAAAACATTAAGATGAGGAATTCCACCACCACCACCACCAAGGGAAATGAATTTCTGTATCGTTGCAGAGATCTGCAATGCTACGTCATTCAGAATATTCAGGACTGGGATGGACAGATTTTTAATCAATAAGAGAATTGAAGGTTGTGGGGATAAGGCAGGAAAGTGGAGTTAAGGATCATCAAATCATTCATGATCTCATTGAATGACAGAACAGACATGATGGGCTGAATGGCCTAATTCTGCTCCAACATTTATAGTCTTATAATGAAATTGGACTTTTAGTTATTTTCTAACCAACCTGTTCAGAAATTTTATTGTACACCTCTGAAGCAGGTGGGACTTGAACCTGGGCACCCTGGCCCAGAGACTGAGGACACTACCACTATGCTACAAGAACACTCAAAAATTGTCTGAATCTTAGAGAGCTTCTCGCCATGGAATTCTTTAGTGAAAGGCTTAACTTCCAGATTACATATCAAAAAGAAAAATATTTGTCTCACTGCTGATGGATGGCTCATTTAAAAATCATCAGACAATTCTTAGTTGTTGTTGCTTTACTCAGTAATTAATAAAACTTTGCAAATGCTTGCATGCTGTTCTCCTCTCAAAGTAAAAGTGCTCACCATTTCAGTTTGGAAGCGTTTCTGACCTTTTGCTGTTTATACAATGTCATTTGCTGTAATTAAAAGTCTTTTTTTGCTGTAACATCTGAAGATGATAATGTGTCAGGAGTGTTTTCATTTAAGTTCAGTAATTTGCAGCCAAGTCATAATGAGGCCCAATGCGAACCACAGAGAGTCAGTAGGAATCTTTGTGTAACATCACGGTGGATGACAACCTGACTCAATGAAGTTGCATTTTCTACAGTGGTCTCAGAGCACTTGAGCTACCCCAGTTTACTTAGAAGGTAGAGCATCAGGTGATCAGACAAAGAAAGCCAAGTACTTAGCTGGCCAACTTCTTTAAGAGCTATGCATGCACCATATTCTCTTGTGCAAGAGCCATGGGTTGAAAGAGAAAATGATCAAGCTCCATTCCCCTTCCTGATTCCTAGATCCAGCATAGCTTTAGGTAAGGAAAGGATCCAGCTCGACAAATATTACCCACTACTATATCTTCACAAAGCCTTTATTTAAGCACATTCAATAAGACTTGGATGCTTGGGTCAGATATCAAGCAGCAGCTCCATGATGGTTTTGAACTTGTTAGTTGCATCTCATTGGCCAGATAATTGAAGAGAGAAGTAGTGAAGGCCAAAAGATGTCAGATGTAAAGTAATTTTTGGTCCTAGATGTATACACACAAGATGGCAAATTTAAATTGATCCTGAACAGCATATCTTTGAAAATTTAGAATTCATGATTTCCTAAATATGTGTACAGCTCTTTTATCAAGAATGGGCTTGTGTCCTTTTAGGTCTCATGAGTCTAATATTCTGTTATTTTGTTCAGGTACGAATGCTTCAAACACAAGAACACACGCAACTACCTTCTAGCTTTTATACTGGTACTATTCAGTGGGCTAGTGACCATAGTAAGTTTATATTCCTACTTTTTTTAAAATTACTATCTCTGCAGGATATTCACTTCTATATTGCATGATATCTGTTTAAAAATAAAGATGAGTTTTTGTTTGGGACCATTGTATTTGAATCATTGGTGACATTGCATCAATGAAATAATTTTGCCCAATCTTTAATTCCAATGTCTTATTACTTATAATGGGAGACTGAATCACGCTAGATAACAATATGAACAAATGTTTTAGCATTGAGAGAAGCCAGCAGCTGCACTATATTTGTTTTTTTTTGAAGTTGATGGAAGGGTGCTTTGAGTTTGATCATTGAAAGAAAGACAAACTTGCATTTCTTTAGTGCCTTTCACAACCTTAGGATGTCCCAAAGTGCATCGCAGCCAATAAGGATTTTAAGTGTATTCATCATAATGTGGGAAATGTGGCAGACATTTGCGCAGTGCAAGCTCCTACAAATTGCAGTTGGTTAAGTGACTAGCTAATCTGTTTTATTGGTTTTAGATAACTATAAACCTGGACATTGCGAGAACTCCCCTGACGCCTTCAGTAGTGCTGGAGGATCTCTTTCATTTGCCTGAGAAGGCTGATGGGACTTGGTTTAATACCCCATCTAAAAGATGGCACCTCTAACCGTGTAGCATTGAGAAGTGTCAACCTATATTTTTGAGTTGAAGTCTCGAGTAGGCCTTTTAGTTAACAAGTTTCTGACTCCCAAGCCAAAAGTGCTACCCATGGAGCTGCACTTGACCTTTTAAGGATTCTTCTTGGAGTATGGTCTTTGTTGAGAATATTCCTTCCAAATGCATTGCAGGAGTCCACATTTACTGCTATTTGAGCATTTGAAGGTAGCGGCAACCCAGGCAATTTCCTACTGATTTGTATCTTCTGTCCAGAGTGCTGATTGGAAACTTGGTGACATGGGTGGGGATTGCACCTGTATTCCCCGTTGTGCAGGGACTTCAATGTGTTGTCCTAATGCCGTGCTTAGCAACTTGATTCACCTTTTGTAGCCGGTATGATATTTATGAAAATCAAAAGTAAAGTAGCAAAGTGATGAGAAGAAATTTAAACAACCCTGCAATTTTTCAAGTGAATTGCATTCAGACAAGGCAGATAGGTTTGCACATGTATATATTGGAGCTACTGGAATTCTGTATGGGATCTGGAGAAAGTCTTGTATTAATAACTACTCCAGTTGACTCGATGTTGGTCCTTGAGTGTTCCCTGACTGAAGAGCAATTGGGAATATTTAGCAATCCATTGGTTATTATTAAAGGCTTTCTTGTTTGTTCTGTGTTCCAGTTATGTTGTTCTTGTTTTGAACAGGTGTATCTCCAGTGGAAGGAGCCAGTGTTTCACCAGGTTAGTAATACTAAAAATTACCTTTTGGAAGCAATCCTCTCAATTGGAATGTGAAGAATGATACAGTGATTACTTTGAATTCAATAGTTTTTAAATTCATTGTGAATAATAAGGTGGTCCTTTCTCTTAATATCTAAAGACAGCAACAATAATAGAGTTCTTTTGGCCCATCTTATTTGTAAATACTCATGTTGTTGGGGTAACATTTTAGCATGGATAGAAGATAGTTGGCTAACAGGAAATGGGTGTGTACGAGGAGTGAGGAGCCTTCCTCTCCGTGGCAAGCTGAAACAAGTTGTGTGCCACAGGGATCATAACTGGGATTTCAACTGTTTGCAATTAACACAAATGCCTCAGGTGAATGGTAGAACGTATAGTTCCTAAATTTGCCTATAACATAAACTGAGGTAGGAAAGTAAATTGCGCAGAGGACATAAGGAGTCTACAAAAACTCTGGCTTGGTTAATGGGATACAGGGAAATGTGAAATTGTATGTTTTGGCAGGAAGAATAAAAATGAAGCGTATTACCTAAAAGGCCAGAGTTTACATAGCTCTGAATGCAGAGGGATCTGTCAGAGGTGTGTAAATCAGTACATACATCACAAAAGGTTACTATACAGGTAAAGGAAATAATGAGGAAATCTAATAGAATGTTACAAATTATTGAGAGGAGAATTGAATGCAAAAGTAGGAAGGCTTTGCTTCCCTTGTATACGGCAGCAATGAAACCACATCTCACTGGTATTGGTTTCCATACTTAAGAGATACAAATCCATTAGAAGCAATTCAGCAATGATTTACCAGTCTAATACTTGGAATGGGTAGGTTGTGTTGTGAGGAAAGGCTAGGCAGCATCTTGTATTTGCTGGAATTTAGAGTAGAAAGTGCCTTGATTGAAACACTCAAAATTTCGCGAGGTCTTGACAGGGTGGATATGGAGACATTGCTTCCTCTTATGGAAGAATCTAGAACTAGGCATTACTGTTTAAAAATGAGGGGTCAGCCATTTAAAACAGAGTTGAGGCAAACAGTTTTTCTCGAGTGGGTTGTGAATAGTTGGAACTCTTCCACAAAATATATTGGAATCAAAGTGCTTGAATATTTCTGAGGCAGAGATGAATAGATTCTTGTTGAGCAAGGGAATGAAAAGTTAATGGGTAGGGAGGAACGTGGATTTGAGGTTACAGTCAGGTCAATTATAATCTTATTAAATGGCGGTGTTGGCTTGAGACCACAGTGGTCTACCTCTTGCCCATTGTATGTATGTGATTTAGCCTGCTACCTAGATATAGGTTGGTTTGCAAAAAAAGTTGAGATTCTTGAGTCGATTTGTAGCTCGGATTGTGGATGCTATGGTGGGTTCACTCACCGAGCTGGTTTGTTAGTTCGCAGACATTTAATTACCCTGCTGGGTAACGTCATCGGTGCAGCCTCCGATGAAGTGCTGTTGTGTTTTCCCGCCTGGTATTTAAACTCTGAGGTCCATTGGAATTGGTTACCTCATTTCCATTTTTTCTTCTCAGTGGTGTATATATAGGGTCTAATTCTACGTGTTTATTGATGGCCGCCTTGGTGGAGAACCAAGCCTCTAGAAATTCCTGTGCTTGTCTCTGTTTGGCCTGTCCTAGGATCCTGATGTTATCCCAATCGAACAAGTGGTTCTCCTTATTCATGTAAATGGAGATGAGTGAGTACTGGTCATGTCTTTTTGTTGCTAGTTGGTGTTCATATATTCTTGTGGCCGGTTTCCTTCCTGTCTGTCCAAAGTAATGTATCCATTACAGTATTCACTGACCAGTACTTGTTTCCTAACCATATAGTGAGTTATCCTCTAATGATTTGCAGTTCTTCTGTATGAAGTGTGTAGGCAACTTGGACCTGGCAAAAATCAGCACCTTCAGGACTGGATGCAAAGTAGTTTCGTTTGGGGAAGATCATGTTGTTAAATCACTAAGGAATGATTTGCTGTGGAGACTGCATCTCAAAATGCAGCATTGAGTAGTGAGGCCAGTTACATGGGAAAATTTCTGCAGATTACTTAAGATAACTTGAGTTCTGTCATGTGGCTGATTTTTATTTTTACTGGGAGTGTAATTTTAAATACATAGTTTTGTGAACCTGAAAGCCACAGTGTTTCACCATTAGGCAATTAACTTTGCTTCTTGTGATATTAAACTCCTTATTTTGCCTGCCACAAAACTACAGACTGGGTGTAGTACAAAATTAACTTTACTGTTGCTGCAGGCAACATGAGCATGGGAACTAGGTAATTATTCTAAATGATATGCAACACTTTTCTTCAACTGGCTGAAAGGAAATGCAAATCTGGGTGGAGTACCAGTTATGTAGTTTGCACTTGGAAAGGTTAGACTAAATCATTGAAATGTATAAAATCGTTAGAGGACATGACAGGGTAGCTGCTGAAAGGCGGTTTCCCTCATGGACAGTTTAGAGCAGTAGATCATTGATTTAGAATAAGGGAACAGCTGTTTAGAACAGAGACAAGACGTTTCTTTACTCAGTGTTGAGAATTTTTGTATTTCTTTTTCCCTGTGATCTGTGAGTGTTTATTTGTTGAGTATATTCAAGATTGGGATTAGGTGGACAAGTGGATTTGAATCTGTGCCATGATCTTATTACATGGAGGAGCAGTCCTCTGCTCTTATTTCTATTGTTATTGGAATCCATTCTACTCCGTGTACTCTGGTTTCTTTGCTGAAGAATCTGTAAAATAGCACCAAATTAGTACCAAAGGGGAAGTAATGCACTTGGTTGTCAACTTTCACCTTGGGGACTTGGATTCCAATCCAGTATTTACTGGCAAGTTGAAAGCTGTCTCTGTCTGCTAACTGTATGTGAAATGGATGACAACAGCCTGTGATGGGCACAAGCCTACAATACCAGTCCTCATTTGGACAAACTGGGTGTTGTAATGACCAAGATTGGAGGAGTATGCTGTCACTCTAGTCACACTTTTCCAAAGGTTGTAATATAAAATAAAAGTTTATTTTTCCTGTTACCAAAATGACCAATCAAACATCTTAACTATATCAGGTTTTAACAACTCAATTCATCGACCAGGTTCCTTCAGGAATCTAGTCATTGACCTGTCATCAAAATAAAACTTGCACAATAAAGATGCAATAATTGTTCAACATACACAGTTAGTGACAGAAAAGTATAAGTGCTCAATCAGAGATCCCCAAAACACAATGCATACATACGCACTCCCTCTTCAGGAAGAGGGAAAAAAATAAATTCTGTTGAGATTGGCTTTCTTTTTTTAAAAAGCACTTTGCTGAGTGGTTTATTCTTGAAGGCAAAAGGATGTAGATTGTTCTGGCATGTGTGATCAGGTCCCTGTTCATGCATAATTAGAAAGACTGTATTTCTTACGAAACTATCTTGAGAAATTCTTTCAGTTTCAAAGGAACAAATATGTTTCACCCTGACCTCAACAAGAAATTAAAGTCTGTTCTTGGTAAACGGGCCTCCAGCTGGGCTTGTTCTTGGACTTCTCAGCAACTGAACCAGATATTAACTTTCATCTATTAAGATGGTAACATATTCCTGGTAGTTTGTTTTTCTTATTGTATAAACCAGCCCACCTTCACACTGTCAGTTGGTACATTACTTTCTAATGTCACCTATGTAATGTTTATCAATGTACTTCTCTGCTGCCAATTTTTTTTCTGTTGAATCATTAGAAAGCCTACAGTGTGGAATCAGACTATACAGCCCACCGACTCCATACTGACCCCCCAAAGACCATCCACCCAGACCTATCTTCCTACCCTATCCCTGTAACCCTGCATTTCCCATGGCTAATTCACCTAGCCTGCACATCCCTGGACACTATGGGGCAATTTAGCATGGCCAATACACTCAACCAGCACATCTTTGGACTGTGGTAAGAAACCTGAGCACCCGGAGGAAACCCACGCAGACACTGGGAGAATGAGCAAACCTCACACAGACTGTCACCTGAAGCTGGAATCAAACCTTGGGTCCCTGGCACTTTAAGGTAGCAGTGTTAACTACTGAGCCATGATGCTGTCCACAGGACTGTCATCAGCTGAAATGTAAAATGTTCAAAAATTAATTTCAATATAATTGTTACTCAGTTTAAAAAAAATGACACTTGATACCGAAGTAGCAAAGCCACAGGAGTTTTCCAAGAATGCCACTTGTCCTAATATCCTTTAGGAAGGTCACCTGCAGTCTTTACTCATCTGATTGACATCTGACTCCAGACCCACAGTAATGTGGTTGACTGTTAACTCTCTGCCAAAATGGCTGAGCAAAACATTTCAACTCAAGGGCAATTGGGGATATCCAGAAAATGTGGGCCTTGAACAACAATGACCAACAATGAACTCATGGAAAAAAAAAAAAATTAATCATTATCCTTGCTATTGCTCTCCTGTTTCTCTTTCTAGGATGATGCACCACAACTGGTGACTATTCAGTCCATTTTGCCTATGCTGTCTCTTTAGCAGAGACTTTTTTTTTGTTTCTCTTCACCACTCAGGCCCTATAGTTGTTTTCTCTCTCTTAATAATACGCTGTCACTGATGCTGTTAACAGTTTTATTTTGTTCCTCTGTGCTCCAAGTATTCCATGTATTCTTTCTCAAAGTTTCTCACCTCACACTATCCTCCCTTCATTGTGCAATTTTCAGACTTTTAAGCCAATACGTTATTACAAAATGAACAAATGAAAAAGTACAACACAGGAACAGGCCCTTCGGTCTTCCAAGCCTGTGCCGACCATCATGCCCTAATTAATCTAAAAACAAACCGGCCATTTTTCGATCCGTATCCCTCTAACCCTTCCCTATTCATGTACCCATCTAGGTGCCTCTTAAATGTCTTCAATGTGCCCGCTTCCACCACCCCTTCTGGTAGTGCATTCCAGGCTGCTACCAATCTCTGCATGAAAAACTTCCCTCTCACATCTCCCTTAAACTTTCCTCTTCTCACCTTGAACCTGTGCCTCC